AACAGACGACACACAAAAAGTTTATTAACTGATAAATGCATAAAATATACATACAGTGCTGGTTTGGAGGACACCAAGTGTGTTTACGGCAGCCTCTTACGTGCTATCTCATGTTTGTCATTTTTTAAATTTGCTCACCAAGGGGACCAACAAGTAGTATGTGGTTTATCCAGATCGCATAGGGCCTATGCCCCTAGCTCCTGTGATGTAGAAGGGTTAATTGTATTTATAAATGGTGATGTGTAGAAAAACATATGAACAATAAAGTTCTCTCACAGTGTTACGTCGCGTGCAGGCGAGCGGAGAAGCGGGCGAGCGGGGAAGCAAGCGAGTCGAGCCGTGATTACGGGTAGAAACGGGGTTTATTTGCAGGGAAACTAACAATACGGCAGACAACATCAATGACGGATCTGGGGAAACTAACTCAGATGTGGACTAAATACACAGGACAGGCTAAACATAACAGGCAACAGGTGATTACAATCGGGAAGTGACATGCGGTAAGGAGGGGGGTGTGGCACACAGGAGGATCGGACGAGCAGGTCATGACATACAGGTTTTTCTAGAGTCGATCACCTACTGATTATAGGTCCATAAACATAAATGCTATATGATAATGCTACTTACCGTAAGACTATGGTCATGGCCCAGATTTTATTGGCACTGTAATACTTGAAAATGATAATTTACAAAGTATTGTCAAAACCTTAGTTTGCTGTTGCCATTTACAAACAAATTGTTAATTTCCAAATCCTGGATCTGGGAATGGTGTTTTTTTTTAGAACTAATTAAGATATAATTAATGTCTAATATACCTCTTTCAAATTATAGCAACATTACTCCTTTCTCTGGATATAAGACAATAAAATCAAATGTGTAATTACCTATACCCAAGTTTGACAAGGGTTAATGAACAATACATAAGGCTAGGTTTGCATAATATATACAGAGTAATACATTCTCTTTTGGCCATTGATACTGGGGTTAAATTTCTACTGAGAAAAACTGATCAAAATATTTGAGAAGAATACAAGAGAACAAATGAGAATACGCATGAAAATGAATAGTCTTGTGATGAGTAGAAAGCCTAAATCGTCACCTCATTTTCATTGTGACTGCAGCTCCACCAACCTTGGCAGTGGGGGGTGACATCATCGTCAGGGGTCTCCTGTGTGGTGTCACCTTTCATTTATTTATTGGTGTCTGAGTCTGCCAGCCTCTGCGGTGGAAAGTACAGCTCAGCCTGTGGGGGTCTTCCTCTCGTGGGCTTGGTGTTAATATCAGGTTCCTGGATGCAATGTGCACACGTCATACACTGGCCAATGAGGAATGTCATGACCTGTTAGTGAACAACTTAGTGATGACAGGCCTGAGTGTGAGTGCAGAGAAAAGGCCGAACACACACACACGCACACACACATAATCACTGTTTGTATTGCATAACATGCATTTAACTTGTTTTTATTCAATTTGTAACAGGTTAGACATCTAACTATTAAGTAATATGTGCTAAAATACAAATTGATTAATAGGAAATGCTTGAGTTTTTTCTTTGATGTCAGCATCTCCTTTAAGAATTGGACTTGGGTGTGCCCTGCACAAACCTAGCACTGGATCTAGTTACAGTCTTCTTTTATCCCTCGATATAACAGCAGTGTTGGGTGTGTTAAAGAAAACTATGGATACTACTTCTACCACTAAATGTATTACTAACATAGCTGGAACATGATTTTGGTAGAATGATGTTTTTCTCTGGGGTGGCACAGTGGTTAGCACTGTTGCCTCAAACCTCTGGGACCAGGGTTGAAGTCTCTGCCATGGCTCAGTGTGTGGAGTTTGCATCTTCTCGTGTCATCATGGAGTTTCCTCTGGGTACTCCAGTTACCAAATTATGCATGTGTGAGTGAATGATGTGTGAGGGTGCCCTGCAATGCCTCCAGGATAGACTCTGGACACTCCACAACTCTGAACAGGATGAGTGGTTACAGAAGATGGATGGATGTTTCTTTTTTCTTTTTTTGAAGAATGTTTTGTTTATCTTTATTAAGTTAGTTAAGATTTATAAACTGTTCCTTTTTTTAATATATATACACTCACCTAAAGGATTATGAGGAACACCTGTTCAATTTCTCATTAATGCAATTATCTAATCAACCAATCACATGGCAGTTTCTTCAATGCATTTAGGGGTGTGGTCCTGGTCAAGACAATCTCCTGAACTCTAAACTGGATGTCAGAACGGGAAAGAAAGGTGATTTAAGCAATTTTGAGCGTGGCATGGTTGTTGGTGCCAGATGGGCCGGTCTGAGTATTTCACAATCTGCT